TATATATATATATATATATATATATATACTAAAGGCTCAACTTTATATGTGTATTGTCTGACCACCTGTCAGGAATTGATTTGTTCATTCTTTTAAATGAAAATATTACAAACTGTCTTGTAGTAAGAGACACATATTTCTGTAGAAGACATCTATTGCCCCTCTCATGATATACCTAGATCCTCTACTTCTCCCTTGAAATCTTTGCCCCCATCTTCATGGAGACTGGCTATACTTGATTGTGTGGAAGTGAGACCCCTGCCAGTGCTGTATTACTTTGAGTTTATCTCTAGGATTTTAGACTAAAATCTAAAAAATCCAAATCTGACTCTCACATTTTTCAGGGAGGCAAAGTCAAGAGTATGTATACTCAGAAGTTGTGTGGGATCAGTTTCTGACACATGGATTGAAGACTGTAAACGGCAGTTAACGTTGAGAAACCAGACTTCTAAGGACACAGAGAGAGCAGAGGGAATTAGCTCTATCTGTTAGGTTTGTACCTGACAATCTTGTACTCTCCATATAAGCCATGTTAAGCAAAGTTCAACCATAGTCTGGCCTGAGTCTTGGTGGATTGTCCTGTGATTTCTCCCAGCCAAAGCAGAGATAAGCCACCTGATGAGCAGCTGTGAGAAGACTGCCACAAAACTGTTTTTCATCCATTTTCTCAGTTTCAGTTAAACACAAGACTTTCCACCTCACTTCCACTGACATTACAGCTGAAGACTTCAGCATAAGTCTACAAAACTTCTAAGCTGTTGGGCCCACTACCCGTCATCTATCATTTAGCCTCTTTGATTCAGTATTGTCTGGGGTACTAGGAACACAGGGAACTGAACCATGATGATTCATGTTTGCTGTCTAAGTAATAATTGTCTGAATCCATGTGGACATGCTTACTCCATCCCAGGCCGATCTCTGGAAGTGTGGCAATCCATCCTAACAGCGGTAGCCACCACCCTGCTACTTCAGAGATGTTTGGCCATTTGACAAAGACAAGAGGTAAGAGACGGAGAGAATTTGCTTCCTGAGCTTCTCCTCCATGCTCCAGCCCCTGATCCCAGCTGAATGAACAGGATTGCATCCCAGACCTTCAGTCCTATATGATATCCTGGTATTACTCCCCAGTTTATTTTCTCTATTAAAGGAACATTCCCTTAGGATACTTTTCACCTTCACAACCTAAAGATCACACTCTACACATTCAGAGATGATACTAAGCAGTACCAGAGATTCAAATGCATCTTTTTTTTTTTTATTAAAATTCTACCTCTTGTGCATTGATTTCTTCCTGGCCCTTGATCTCATATATGTAATAGGAACAATCTGCCTTTATTACAGTTGTAATAAATATCAAGGTTTATAAAATGCTTTCTAACCAAGTAAAGAAAATATGAGGTTTTTTATTATGATGAAAGAAGTATCTATAATAATTATACTTTGTACTCCATAGTACAAACCATAGACAACTATGCTATTTTAAATTTATTTCATAAATATCCTGATTTTCTGTTTATATTACTTAAATTTTAACAATATATGATGGAATCACATATTATATCTATGCTACTTACCCAACAAAACAGTGTATGTTATAGTTTGATATATTTTTAACATCCTCTGAGTTTATTTGTGCCTGATACATATTATGATTGTCTAAATCAATGTCCAGAGGCTTATGTGTTATTGGTCATAGCCTAGTATGTTAACCAGGTAGCTTCACTTTGACTCTGGACCAGCCGAGCTTTCTCTTGCCAGGGCTGAAGACTGGGATCAAGACAGATATAGCCAGACAAGGCCTGAACACTGTGGAATTCCTCCAAAATTTGTGAATAAATTGGTGCAACTTCATCACCACCACTGGGAAACAATTTAAAAAGTAGGCAGTGTGTTTCTTGACATTACACTAATGGATGGACAATGAACACTTATCTGTAAGACTGTCAGCTATCATACTGATGAAATATCACCTTTAGGAAAATTTCCAGATTGTAAGAGACACAGTGGGCTGAACGTCTGACCCCTCAGATGAAAGTAGTTCAGAACATAATAATAAAAACTTATACTTTGTAGTAATTCCTTATAAAATTTCAAATTTGCTTCAAAATAAATTTTACTGATCAAGGCTAAGCATCAGACATCTTCTAAACACTGTCTTAATGATTTATTAATGCTACCATAATATATTAAAATAATTACACATAAAAATGGTGGTGATAAGCTAACTATGGTAGTTATTTAAACTATGTAAAAATGCATTACAGTACGTTGGATTAAATTTTCAACCAAATTATAGTTCATATTTTAATATATCTTTGAAATTAGTGCACATAACATAATTTCATGGTAACTTTCTCCAGCCAGATTTAAGTGATTATTTCCAAAACTGGTTTCTAGGGGTTTTTCCCCCACAGCATAACTCTCCATAAATTAATGTGAGCCCACTCTATCAAAGGTGTTTATATGTGTTAACATATGCATTTAATTTTAATACACCTATTTATGGCGTGAATGTGTCCCCCAGCAAGCACAGTAAATGGAGTCCTGACGTAATGCTTTGCTAAGAGGATTTTTGCTAAGATTTGCGTTAACTTGGAAGAAACTGTCTACAACTGGAAGCAACTCTGAAGAAAGAAGGAACAGCGCTCATTTTCAAGTAAATTGGCCAGCAAACCAAAAAGGCTTCCTGAAAGTTGCAGAACTTGGTCCTCTGCTAGGAACACAGAAGGCCAGGAACCCGAGCGGCCACAGCGGGCGCCGCGGCGACTTTACCTCAGGCACCGGCGCCCACCGCCCGCTCCCGGCCTCCTTTGCAGTCGCGTCCCTGATTGTGGAGGAGGAGGGTAGAAGTGCGACTGGGGGACTCGTCTGAGAAACTAATGTTTTCGAGGATCGAGGTGGGGAAAACGATTCGCCTCCGGCGGAGCGGGGCGGCCTTACCAGCTGAACCACCGGCCAAGATCTGCCTTGAAGCCTCGCGCACTAAGCCGGCGTCGGGCTTGGCGGACATCTTCGCAGCGGGAGGACGGGGGAGCCGGCCGAGACTAGGGAGCGGGTTCGCCGCTTGAACTTCGGCCTGTGCAGCCTCCCCTGGTTGGGGGAGGCGGGACTGGGTTGGTCTTCGGGCGTCGTGGTTCCCTGAGGGGTGGGAACAGGCACGGAATCGCTGCGAGAGCTCCCGTAGATCGGGACCTGCCCTCTGCGCTGTTCCGGCTGGGCCCCCTGACTGCCGCAAAAGTTCTGGCGGGAAGACTCGCGGATGGTTAGATTGGCCGGCCCCAGCGGTTCTCTCTTGGTCTCCTAGATTGGCGCCCATTTGCTGCCCTATCAAGAGCCTCCTTGCAAACTTCGCCTGGCTGGACGCTTTCGTTGCTTTTGATAACGCAAGTGAAGCGAACCCTCCCGGGAGCTCCCAGGGCAGAACTGGGGCAACCCTTGCACTCTTGGGAGGCCAGAACACTGGAACTAAAAAGAAGGGACAAGTGAATACATTCCTCGAAGTTAGTTATCCTGGAATTGTAGGTCATAGCAACTAAAAGCAAAGCAAACCCAATTTAGTTATAGTTGAGCTAGTGTGGTAATTTACCAAGAAAATGGTTTTGATTTAGGGACATTTATCTCATACCTCATGAACTTGAGTTTTATTTATTAAAAGGCATCCCCCCCCAAAAAAAACCAAAAACATTACAAGTAAGTCTTTACCCAGGTCAAAGGTTCTTAAAGTGTAATACCCAGTCTCATTTATGAATCTGTTAGTAAAATTCATGGGCCCCACCCTGACCTGTTCAATAAGAATTACTAGGGTTAGGGTCCAGAACCCTATATTTTTAACTAGTTCTCTGTTGAATGTTATAAACATTGAGTTGACCTAAATAATCAAGCAATATTAAGAAGATTGTAATATATTCTCTATAAAACAACGATTCATACTAGCCCCTTAGGGTAGTTAGCAAAACAAAAATAGTAATTTATACCGGAGTTTCAACGATAAGTTGCAACTTGCTATGTAGGAGAAACAAGAAAAATATCTGCCACAGAAGATTGGGAAATTTTAGAAAGATGCCCACCACACCCCTAACAGGCAGGAGATGATAAGAATAAAGTGGAGAATTGGAAGGCTATGGAACCCTTACTGGCATTACTTTTAAAACATAGTATTTAATACTAAATATATTTTGTGTCATTAAAATTTCCATTTTTGAAGGTCAAAAGCTGTTGGATATGAGCTATTCCAGTCAAATGTACAAAATAAAATCATTTGGCAAAGCTATTAAAAGTAATTGCTTATTCCTTTTAGCTGTTAAAAGTTGGAGATAGTGATGATACCTGACTAGCAAAATTTATGTTGCCTGAGGATTAGAGAGACTTGCTATGTATTAGGTCAGATATGTGAATATGTTTCTCATATTTGATTAAATTTTGTTTGAAAATGTTTTACTAAAATAGTCAGAATTTTTTACTAATATTAATAAATTAGAATAAAAGCTTTGAGCAGTATCTTTCAGTCTCATTAAATATTCTGTCATTAGTACAATATTGGATCACTTATTCATCAAATATTAAGAAAGCATTACATAGTAGGCAGAGAAAAAGAATTTTCTCTGTATTGTATACCTAAAAAGTATGAATAAACAATGGAGAAAAAAAAGAATTTCAGAGCCCATAGAAAACACTTCCCTCATTTTCCAGTTCAGAAACTGAGTTTTTCAAAAAGTGAGCAGGAGTAATAGTGGGTCACCAGGGATTCTAGAATCCCTTCTGGTAATAGTGAAATTATAGAATTAAATATTTACTACAGGCCAAGGAAAATACATTCTCTCACTCAGAAACCTAAAATAATTAAATGACCCCCCAAATTAATTCCTATTTGTATATAAGTAATATTTTAAAAATTAGTCACAACTATTAATTCCTAATGTTCAACCATAATTCTACATTCATTCATTCACTTTAAGTGTTGAGAATATTGACAGTAAACACTCCTCCCTCATCAATCATATAATCTAATGGTGGAGATCTACCACCTTGCAGTATTAGAAAATCTTTGCTGTCCCTGAATTATTTCTGGAAATACAGTACTTTCACATTAAGATTTAGAGGTACCTTATTTACACTTCCTTGAGTACTTTAACTTCTGAAAACTGTATTCTGAGTAGATGAATGTAAATTTGTGTTCTTAGTGACAAAAAAAAGTTGGACTTTCCTTGGACTAAAACAAATTTGTTGGAGTACAAAAAGCAAGTCCTAACATCACTTGAAATCCTGTCCCACATCTCTAGTTGAGTTGAAGAGAGGGGACTCAGGCAAAATAACATTCTGGAGGTTGAATGTCTGCATGTGTCAATACAATCAAGTACCTACTGTGCTAAGAACTCCAGTTATGGGATTTAGCTTTTATCTGCATTTAAATTTATCCATGGCTCATACTGGAATGCCATAAAGTTTAACGTTGGGAAACTGGTAAAATTTTCTTGACTTATTTCAGAATTTTGAGATTCAATTCATCACATTTTTTTTATTATTTTTAAATAATGTTCCAGTACCCTAAGAGCAAACCTTCTAAAGTTAAGCTTATTTTTTAAATTATTAACTTATTTAGCTGATTTTGGTTAAAGTTATACTAAATTAATACTTACTAGTTTGCAAAATAGCTAAAAACTAAAACTTTGGGGACCTTAAAATGCCTACTGAACTTAAATATCTGACAATTTCTTCAATGTGTTTTTAGAATAAAGGTTCTGTATTGAGCATTGGATTGGCTACTGCACAGGACAAAAATGGACACCATCAAAATTCAGAATATAGTAGCTATTGTGAAAAACTGTCCTGCAAAGAATTTAAAAATCTTGAAGAAATGGGCTGATTTCTAGATTCATATGAATTACCAAAACTGAACCAAGAAGACATAAAAACTTTTAATAATCTAATAACAGACAATGAAATTGAGGAAGTAAAAAAATTAAGGAAAGACCAGGACCTAATGGATTCATGGCTGAGTTCAAGACCATTAAAGGGATTGTACCACCAATATTCCTCCAACACTTCAATGAAACTGAAAGTAAATTTTCCCAAAGTCATTTCTGTAAGTCAGCATCACTCTGATCCCAAAACCAGGTGGAAAATACAGGCCAACCTCTTTAATGAACACAAGATGCAAAAATTCTTATTAAGATACTGGCAAATAGAACACAACAAATCATCAAAAGGATCATACATCATGACTAATAGGTTTTATCCTAGGGTTGCCAGGATGGTTCAACATATACAAATCCATAACTGTAATATATCACATAAGCAGAAGTAAAGACAAAAACCATGCATTGATATCAATAGATGCACAAAAGGCTTTTGACAAAATCCAACACTGATTCATGATTAAAAGAACAAAACAGGCAGACCAGTGAGGACTGCCCAGCCATGCACGGGGAGCTCCCTGCTCCCTCACCTCCAGCGCCCCAGGCCTTCAGTGGAGCAGACCAGTGGTGAGGACTGCCCAGCCACACAGGCGCCTCTGCAGCATTCCACCCGCCACCCCTCACCCCTGTGATTTCCAGCCTCCTGGTTGTACCGGTACCTGGATCCACGCTGCAGAGACACAGGTGGTCATAAAGGCCATTTTACTGAGCTCCAGACGATAGAACAGAAGTAAACAACTGCAGTAAAGGCACATCAGACCTCCGTAGTTGGTAAGTTGGGGGATCACCACCTTCCATCAGAACTTGGACTATCTAAAAGCTAAAAATGGGGGGAGAGGGAGAAAGGAACAGAAAAATATTTAAGATATGTCATGTACATGTACCAATTACCCATAATGAGTGTCCATATGTAACAATCTACTAATTTTTGAAATAGACTGTAAATATTATCCTTAGGTAGTTTCAGTTGGGAAAAAGGACTCCACTGGCTTTGTCTTCCAGGTAATATGAGTTATGTTCTAACAGAAAATTTGTCTAAATTTTTCTTAGGTCCTGAGACTTTGTGGGAGACTGATATTAAGGGTGGCAGGCTATTCTGGTAGAGGACATTTAAAGACAACATTCAGCCTGTGTTTACATACTTTGAGGTTTTTAGTCAGCTTTATAATAAAAATCAAGCACAAATATGTACAAAGTTATGAGTTTGGCCAGAAAGAAAACTCCAGTAAAGTCTACAAAGATGGAGCAGAGGAAAGTTTGGTTGCTAAGAGGATTAAGATTAAAATAATAAAAACGAATTGTTTTACAATAAGGCGATAGATAAAATGGCCTAAGGGTATGTGAGGAACCAGGTAAGCCCTCCTCTTTCCAGGCTGATAATTGCAAAAGTAAGTTACTTTAAATTGAGAAGAGAACCCGGGGAATAGTATTTTTAAAGGGCCATCTAGGAAATTGTTCCCTGAGATTTTGTTCATAGTGCTCAACCATCTAAACTTTTGAAGTTCTCTACAGCCATGATACAAGAGACTCTGGCTACTGCTCAAGTTGACATCAAACTTGACATTGTCCACATGGTGCTGGTTTTACATACATGCAAAATACAAGTGTTATGGGGAAAAGGAAGCCTTCCACCTACATTTCAGAAGAAGGTCTAGGAGGCCAGGCAGTCTCTCCTTGAGAGGGCATTGTTCTCTGAAGTGGGCAATGCATACAACTACGATAGTGAAGCCAAAAGTGCGGTGGAGACCCTAGAAATTTGGAGAAGCCAGACATATGGAACAAACATCTGAGGAAAGCTACAAGCAGTGAGTAAATCCAGCCCAAGAGAGAAGCCACAGGGGCTACAACCACTGGCAATGCCGTAGAAGTGGGGCTTCCCAAGCCCTTTGGGGTTATCATCTCCATATAATTTACCTTGAGTACTAGATATAGAGCTATAAGATTTAATGTTTGCTCTGCTAGGTCTCAGTCTTGCTTTGGACCCATTGGTTTCTGTTCCTCTATTTTCCCCCTTTGAATTAAAAATGATCACCCTTTGCTTTTGTATGCCAGCAGTGTTTAAATTTTTTTATTATTTTTTCAGGGGCTCACAGTTCATAGTATGCTCTATCTCAGAAAAGACTTTGAACTTGGACTTTTCACTAATGTTGGCACTGTTAAAACTTTGATAACTCTTAGAGTGGACTAAATACATTTTACATTAAGAGATGCACATGAGTCTTTGAGAGCCCAGAACAGAATGTTATGCTTTATGTTTATATGTCTCTCAGAGCCTCATGTACTCTTAGGTGAGGCTTTTGAGATGTGATTGGATCATGGAACTATGATACTCATCACTGTATTAGTTCACCAATAAGTTTATAGCTAAATTTGATGTTGGGAGTTACAGTCCAGTCAGAGGAGCCCAATCATAAGGGCTTGGCTTGGAGCTTATATCATACTCCCTGACTCCTGGATTCATGCTCTCCACTTCCTGACCACCATTACTGTGAACAATTTTCCTTTACCATGCCTCTCTGCTATGCTGCCATGCTTTGGACCCACATGACTATTGACTGAAATCTCTACAAACTGTGAATCAAAATAAACCTTTCCTCCTTTAATTTATACACCTGGTAGTTTGTCACAGCAACACAAAGTGACTAAGACATATATCAACTACTGTCTGGCTTTCATGATTTCTGATAAGCAATTAGTTGATAATCTTATTGTAGAATCTGGGTATAATTTGCTTCTGTCTTGATGCTTTCCAGATTTTCTCTTCGTTTTCATTGATAGTATAATCATAATGTGCCTCATTGAGCATCTTTTCATGTGTTATTGGACATTTATTCTTTTGGGGAATCTCTGTTCACTTCACTTACCCATTTTTGGATATGGTCCTTCATTTTGTGTGATCTAGTTTTTTTTTAGTTCTTTATATATTCTGGGTATGAGTCCTCTGAGGAATTGCTGGCAAAATATTTTTTTCATTCTGTAGGTTGTCTTTTGACTGTTAGCTGTTTCTTTTGCTGTACAGAAGCTTAATTTGATGCAATCCCACTTTTTGATTCTTAGAACTATTTCCTATGCAGATGGGGTTCTGTTTAGAAAGTCCTTACCTATGCCTATGAATTCAGGAGTTTTACCTATTTTGCCTCCCAGCAAGAGTTTCTGGTTTAACATTTAGATCTTTGAGCCATTTTTATTTTAGTTTAGTACATGGTGAGAGATATGGGTAGATTCAATCTTCTAAATGTGGATAGACAATTTTCCTAATTAATAGAAGAGGCAATCTTTCCTCTAGTATTTTTTGCCCCTTTGTCAAAGATGAAATAGTTGAATGTACTTGGTTGTTTATGCATCCTTTAGTCTCTTTCATTGATTCTTGTGTCTATTTTTGTGCCACAACCATGCTGTTTTTATCACAGTAGCTTTGTAATATAGCTTTAAATTTGGGATTGTGATGCCTCCCACTTTGCTCTTTTATCCAGAATTGCTTTTGCTATTCTGAGTCACTTCTGATTCTATGTGAATTTTAGGATTGTTTTCTCCAGTTCTGTGAAGAATTTGGTTGGAATTTTGGTATTGCATTACATATGCGCATCAATTTTGGAAGTGTGGTCATTCTGAGTATATTCTGCCTATCCAGGATCATGTGGCATCTTTCCATTTTCTGATGTCATCTTCAATTATTTTTCAGAGTACTGTAGTTTTCACTGTACAAATCTCACTCTGCCTTTGCGGTGTCAATTCCTAAGTATTTTTCTTGGTGACATTGTGAATAATATTTTCCCCTCATTTCTTTTTCAGTGAGTTCAGTATCATTGTACAAAACACTATTGATTTGTGTGTTCATTTTGTATCCTATTACTTAATTAATTTTGTTATTAATTCTAAGAGCCTTGGTGGATTTTTTGGTATCTTTTATGTAGAGGATCGTGCAATCCACAAATAATGATAATTTGACTTCTTCCTTTCCTGTACATGTCTGTTTTCTTTTTCTTGTTTAATTGTTCTTGCTAATGTTCTGAGTACTATGTTGAACAGTAGTGGTTACAGAGGACATCCTTCTCTTGTTCCTAATTTTAGAGGAAAAGCTTTCAGTTTTTCACCATTTAATATGATATTGGCAGTAGGTTTGTCACAAATAGCTTTTATCAGATTGAGATAAGGTTCTTCTATACTTATTTTCTTTCATGTTTTTATCATGAACGGATGTCAAATTCTGTCAAAGAATTTTTGTGCATCTGTTGTGATGATCATGTAATTTTTGTCCCTGCTTTTATGTGATGTATTACATTTATTAATTTGCATATGTTGAACCATTCTTGCATCTCTGGGAAGCAGCCTATTTGGTCATGATGTATGATATTTTTGATGATTCATTGCATTCTGTTGGGCAGTATCTTGTTGAGGATTTTTTCACCTATATTCATTAAAGGAATTAGAGCGTAACTCTCTGTTTCAGGTAAATTCTTGTGTGGTCTGGAATGACTTTGTGAATACTCCTTCTCTTTTGGTTTCATTAAAAAGCTTGACGAATATAGGTGTACAAATGCAGTCCCAAGTAGATGCTGCACATACAGTGGATTTGTATTAGAACTGAGAACTCTCAAATGTATAGGGGATTTATTAGCAAATCTGCCCAACCTTTGCCTCAGGAGAAGATATTATCTTTATTTTACTAGTTAAGGAACACATTTTCCCTCTATACTAGAAAAAGACACTGCTTTCTTTTCCAAGGCTGTTTGTTGTCCATCAAAAGAAAGTCTGAACAAATCTTGTCATAAGATAATAGAGATGTGAAGCACCAATACATTTGTCTCCTAAAATATTGTCCCTCATCTCCAATGATCTTTTCTTAACTTACTTTATAACTTCCATTTTATACATGAAAATTGTCGCTGCTGCAGAATTAAAGAGACAGGAGAGATCACTGAGAAACAGGATTTTATTCCAGGTTTTAGGTATACCCCATCTTGGCAGACTTACACCTAAAGGCCAAGCCAAAAACAAAGGAGAAGCTGTTTGTATACATTTGTTGAGGATTGGTGCCAAATGGAACATTGACAGTTTTATAGCTGAGCCTTGAAAACCAGCTATCAGGAATTTTAGGATGTCTTAAGACCCTGTTTACAGTAATGTGGTTGTCAACCTTATCAGTACCAGGTTAGAGGTAAGCCTTGAAGGAGAACAGATTCCTGAGGAAACAGGACCCCTCTTTTTTCTTATTCCCTCCTAAAGAAATTAACTTCCTCTCCTTTCTTTTACACATAATTTGATTTGGTTGTAACCCTTTACACAAGCTATTCTCCCTGATTGTAGTGCCCTTTCTGACTGGGTTGTCTATCTGGCAAACTATACAACTTATCTTTTTTGTTTCATCTATTTTTATGATACTTTTATTATAAATAGCTGATTAAAGGCTGGTATAAACAAAAAATTCATAACCTAATTTTTCAGCTAATTTCCATTCAATTTTTTCATCTTTTTTTCACTTACTGAGGTGTACGTGATTTCATTAACTTTACCCACGAACTTGGGTTTCCGTCAATTTATGACTATTCTCTGGGCATGTACAAAACTTTCACATTTTTATACTCACTACTCAGCAGTCAGAAGAGTACCTTGCATGTACCATATATATATTTGGTTTATAACTCAATATATATTTGGTTTCTAACAGACTAATGAGTAACAGGAGCTCAAGTTACATTTATAAAAGCAATACTCAACTTTGGAACAAGAAAATCATATTTGAGCTACTAGCAATTAATTAAACCAGGCTGTTTTACTTCTATGCATATTTTTGGCGATTTATTTTTCAGCAGGAACGGGGGGGGGGTAGACAAATTAGGTGTTTTTAATTCCGGAAGGCCTTTGAGAATTCACACATCGTATGTAAGAATTCAAATATCCTTCCAGTATGTTAGTAAAAAAGTCACTAGCTTCAAGGTCTTTAGTCTTCCCTGGCTAGGATCAAGGTATCATTTTTGCTCACTCACTCGTGTCGTTTTCAGTCACCCATCACCTACCTCGCAACAACATGCCGTTTTGTTTTCCCCTGTGCCCTATTCCCTCTCACCTTGAAATGCACGCGCGCGAGAGCACACACACACACACACACACACACACACCTCTCACACAGAGTTCCACAAGTTACGTGCAGACTCGCACCCTAACGTGAAGCCTACACGACGCTTCAAATCACGCGTTTTCCCTCCTTCCACCAGATAAGGTTTTGCCTGGTCAATTTTTGCTCTTCTGGGATGCACCCGCCTTACCCGTCAGCACTAACACAGGCCGCTGCCTTCTCTTCCCGGAACCAGTGAGGACTTTCCAAATTCCCTGGCTCCCCTGGA